GATGAGCTATCGACCGAAGCCATACACATTTTTTGCATGCTTCATGAAGCGCAATAATCTCCACATAGTTTGAAGAAGTCGCGACCAAAGTTTGCTTTTGTGATCGCTAGGAGATCGTAGTTCCACCAAATATGAAAACATATCCAGTTTGCGATCGAGCTTTATGCGGATCAGACAGATATCCTGCATCAGCAAAACCAACTAGACCAACCTCGGGGTTTCTAGAATAATATATTCCAAATTCAATCGAACCTTGAAGATAACGGAATATATGCTTTATTCCATTCCAATGCCGCCGCGTCGGTGATGAACTATATTTTGCAAGTAAGTTAGTAGCAAATGCGATATCTGGCCTAGTACAATTTGCAAGATATATAAGGGCACCGATAGCGCTCATATAAGGCACTTCAGGACCTAATATTTCTTCGTTACCTTCACAAGGTCGAAATAGATCCTTGTCAACGTCAAGTGGTTTATTGACCATTGGAGTATTCAAAGGAGTTGCTTTATCCATACTAAAGCGTTTCAACACCCTTCTGGTGTAATTTGACTGATGCACAAATATTCCATCTTGGAAATGCTCTATCTGGAGCTCTAGACAAAATTTTGTCTTTCCAAGATCTTTCATTTCGAACTCATCTTTCACATGAGCTCTAGCATCATCAATCTCTTTTTGAGTTCCAATCATGTTCAGGTCATCAACATATACAACAATGATCACAAATCCTGATGCGGATTTCTTAATAAACACACAAGGGCATATCACATTGTTGACGTAACCTTAACTCAACAAATACTCACTTAAGCGATTATACCACATGCGTCTGGATTGCTTTAATCCGTAAAGTGATCGCTGTAGTTTGACCGAACATAGCTCTTTAGATGCTTTAGGCATCTTTGATCCTTGAGGGATCCTAAATCCTTCAGGAATTTCATGTATATGTCACTATCAAGTGAACCATATAGGTATGCAGTTATAACATCCATCAAGTACATCTCTAAATTATTAGAGGCTACTAGGCTCATTAAGTACCTGAATGTGATTGCATCCATGACGGGGGAATATGTCTCTTCATAATCTATTCCCGGTCTTTGAGAAAATCTTTGTGCCATAAGGCGAGCTTTATACCTTGTGACCTCATTTTTCTCATTTCTCTTTCTTACAAAGACCCATTTGTATCCGACCGGTATTACATCTTCAGGTGTAATAATTATCGGTCCAAATACGTTCCGTTTATTAAGGGAGAATATCTCATCCCTCATGGCAACTTGCCATTTATCCCAGTCAGACCTTCTTTGGCACTCTGACACGGAACTTGGATCTTGATCATCATTTTCATGATCGATCTCTTTGGAAACAGAAAAAAGAACATTCCATCATTATCTTCTATTTCCCTTCTAGCCCATAATTTTCCACTTTCGGCGAAGGAGATGGAAATCTCATATTTTTCTGCTTCAGATTCGTCTTCAGGACAAACCTCTTTACCTAGTTCTTCAGGAACTGGTTCAGATATGTCTTCCGGACATATACCTTCATTTGGTTCTTTAGGAACCTTTTCAAAAATGTCTTCAGGACATTTAGCTTTATTTGGTTCTTCCAGAACCCTTGCTTCCAATTTCATTCTTTTTCGGGGATTTTTATCTTTTGATCCTGCTGGCCTCCCGCGCTTTAGCTGAACTGGTTCATTTGCTCTATTTACATCAATATGTTCTTCAGAAACATTTATCTTTGATGGAGCATTAGCAGCGGGGATATAGGACTATGTCACCCTTCTTGTATTAGTGAATGCATCAGGTAACTGGTTTGCCAATCTTTGTATATGTATAATTTTCTGAACTTCCACCTCGCGTTGGTTTGTAGGAGGATCAAGATAAGCCAAAGTTTTTGTACACCATGTGATATCATTTGGTGATTCTCTCAATATTCCCCCTAACGCAGGGAATTCACTTTTATCAAAGTGGCAATCGGCAAACCGTGCCGTGAACATATCACCAGTTATCGACTCAAGATACCTAATTATACTTGGTGACGAATACCCGATATATATTCACAGTCTTCTTTGTGGTCCCATTTTTGTTCTTTGAGGTGGCGTTATAGGGACATACACCGCACACCCAAACACTTGAAGATGGGATACATCTGGCTTCTGGCTGCTAACTGTATGAGGGAATATTCATTATACGCACTTGGTCTTACCTGGACCAATGCCCCAGCATGCAATATAACATGTCCCCATACAGTGATTGGAAGCTTTGTTCTCAAGATTAACGGTCTTGCAATTAATTGCAACCGCTTAATCAATGACTCAGCCATGCCATTTTGTGTATGAACATGTAGAACCAGATGCTCAACATCGATTCCCAAAGACATACAATAGTCATTAAAGGCCGCTGAAGTGAATTCACCAGCGTTATCAAGCCTGACTTTCTTTATGGCATAATCAGGGAAATGCGCTCTCAACCTGATTATTTGGGCAATGAATCTTGCAAAAGCCATATTTCTTGTGATCAAAAGACACACATGTCACCATCTACTAGATGCATCAATCAACACCATGAAATATTTAAATGGCCCGCACGGTGGGTTAATCGGCCCATATATATCACCATGTATTCTCTCTAAGAATACAGGGGATTCATTCCCATCTTTGGCTGGGGAGGACCTACATATGAGTTTTCCTTGAGAACATGCCTTACATGAAAACTCTCCCGATTGAAAAATCTTCTGGTTTTTCAATGGGTGGCCACTCGAATTTGCACAATCCTTCTCATCATGACTGAACCATGATGGCCTAACCTTTCATGCCATACTCTAAAGGTGCTGGTAAACTTCTGGTTTACCGTAACATGTGATTCAGCTATGTGCAATATAATCCGGAGGACATCATTGGTAACTCTTTCAACTGATGTTTACTCTCCGTTGTAATGCAAAGATATTCAGAGCCATTCTTATTAATAGTCTCAATATGATATCCATTTCTGCAGATAGTTCGAAAACTTAATAAGTTCTGTTGAGACTCGGGGGAGTATAATGCATCTTGCACTACAAACTCTGTACCCCTTGGCAATGAAAAAATTGCTCTTCCGGAGCCTAGTATAATCTTTGCAATACCAATTAGAGTACTCACGCTTCCAGTGGAGACTTTCATTTTGAGACAAGAAAAATACTTTTAATCTTTAAGTATTGTATGTGTCGTAGCACTGTCTGCGTGACAAGTATCTCCATCCATAGTCTCAAATTCTGACATTTTTAATTTAAAATATTTATAAAAGATGTATTAATGAGTATTAAACACATACCTGGCAATACAGCTTATGGTACAATAGATACTACAACAAAAACATTCAAAGCAAAAGCCATATAATACATCAAAACCATTAAGCTTTTCTCTTTCAACGTCCCAACCATCATCCTTTTCTTTTATTAAATTTGTCCATCACACTTACTGCAAGTGGATTACTTAACATTCTCCCCTAGGAATGGAGTTAATTTAGTTGGACAAAACTGATGGTTTCTCATAACGAGTTTATTATATTATTAAGCTACCAAAAGGATTTATATCAACTCCGAGCTTTGGGTGAATTCTCTCGCCTGGAGATTCAACCACTTATTTCCCAAGATCTTCAGGATCTTTACTCGTGATAGATTTATCATTTAAACCATCATGGATATGGTGACGTAAAAAGATCATGATATTTGCCTTATTTCATCAAATATCGTTCTGATATATCGATAGTGCTCAAGAGATCATTTCTCTCTAGATGCAACTTTGCACATACCGCCCAAGACATATAATTCTTTTCACACAAGTCAAGGGTGGCGATCTCGAGCTTTGACAAATTATTACTCAATAACAAAAGCTTAATTCGTTAGATTAAAAATTTGAGCATAGTAACGGCATAATAAAAGACAATAATTAAAAGCAATATGAGGAGGCAGAGCCTACCACAAAATTGCCGATTGCATAATAAATAAATTGACAAATATGAGGATTTTAATCTCCCACACAATAAATTAATATGATCTCAGGCGACATAGTCTGCCATGTGATCATTTTTGATTGTGGAGGCAGAGCCTGCCATAACAATCAGCTCGGAGGAGACAAAGCCTACCATCCCGGGATAATAAATAAACAATATAATTATTTGACCGTGGAGGCAGCGCCTACCATAACGATCAGCTCGGAGGAGGCAGAGCCTTCCATCCCGGCATAACATATAAACGGAGAAAGCAAATCCTATCTTTCCGTAAATCGTAATATTCAAAATATATTAAACATAAAAGAATCTTACCTCTCTGGTATATAGACAAGTCAAGAGACGCTCATGCTGATAACGTGTTGTAAACTAATTAATGCTTTATAAAGAAAAGCAAAGAAGAGTTTAAGATCTTTTGAACTTTAGAGAGAAAGAGAGAAAGATGAACATAAGAACTTCATTTCTTTCTTCTTCTGAACTTATGATATTATAAAGAATGAAGTTACCTATTTATAGGAAAACTTTACTTCATAGTAAAGTAAGCTAATGTATAAAGACAAAACATATAGATAAGCATTATCCAAAACATATGGATAAGCATTATCTAAAACTTATAGATAAACATTATCCTTTAATATGCTAATGTATAAAAACAAAAGCAAATGGATAATCACTATCCATTTAACACTTTAAACTCTTATTGAATTAGAAAAATTGCACAACCCAACCACCCAAACCCTTTAACTCAACTAGAATCCATCTAATTTTTTTTTTCTTTCAATTATCATCTCATCTTCTTCATCGGTTCTTCATCTATTTTTTTTTTAATTCCATTGATTCAATCGAAAGAGAAGGAGACGATGAATTTCAATCTTACTACGAACTCGTTACGGATCTGAAGTCTCTCCTCGACACAGATGGCAACCTCTCCTCGGTGGCTTCATCGTTTCTCTGCTGCTTCTCTGCCGCCATGGATGCGCGCTTCTGCTTCGATGTCTCTTCCCTTTCCTTAATCTTCAGTTTCTCAGCATAACAGCCCCGACCTCTACTTGCTCTCTCTTACTAGGGTTTTCCATTTTCCTCTTCGTTCTCTGTTTGAATTGCATTTTCTGATATTTTTTTCTGTACTCGTTTGAAGTTTAGTTCTGTCATGTCTGTAGATTCGTGTGAGTTTCTTAGCACGTCTCTTATACTGTAAGCTATGCTGCTGTGTCGAGTTTCTTTATTGCATTCTCCGCTTATTGTTTTAGACTTAGTTTAGAAATAGCTGTTGTAGCAATTTCAGGGCTCTAAATTCTGCAACTTAATTAATTTTTACGATTCTCCCTAGTTTAGGTTTCAATGAATGATGATGTGTGGATTTATTTTTTGTCCTAAAGAGATTCATATTCTTTATGCAGTCTTGCGATGATATATTTGAACCGAAGCTGGAAGAGCTCATTAATCAGTTGAAGGAAGTTGGTAAAAACATGGATGCATGGCTAACTGACCATTTAACTAATCGATTTTCCTCTCTGTCTTCACCAGATGATCTATTAAATTTCTTTATTGACATACGAGATTAGCTGCTCACTTGGTTAAGGTCTTTTTTCCTTGTTTTCATCATATTTGGGTCTTATTAGCTATCGTCTCCTTTTTTTGTAGGAATACTTGGGAGCCTTGATCCAGGAGTTGTGCAAGATGATCTGATTATTTTGGATCCGAACAGCAACTTGGGAATGTTTGTTGGCAGTTGCATTTTTCGTTTTTGTTTTTCTTATAGTAAGTGTTTGGTTTTTATTTAGAGTTTGATTTTTTGGAGGGTACAGTTTTCCTTCTGTTTGCAGCATGATCCTGCTTGTCGTGTGATTGCTAGCCAACATATTCAAAAGTCAAAAAAATTCAGCCAGTTTCATTGAGTGGAACAAGCAAAATTCAAGTTACATGGCCACCAATATCATGGACAGTGCTAAAATCGTGGTGTTCAATATTCAATGGTGGAGCTTCAGTAACATCAAGCTATAATTTTTTATCTGGATTTTTGTGAGAACTATGAAAAATATAATGTTTGTGAGGTACAACTGAAATAAATAGCTCGACTGAGTTCGATTGAGTGAGTTTTACGGTTCAACCAAATTTTATTAAGTTCAACTGGATTTTATTAAGTACAACGGATAACACAAGTAACGAGCTACAACTGAAATACATGGCTCGATTGAGTGACGTTTACGGTTCAACTAGGTTTTATCAAGTTCAACTGGATTTTATTAAGTACAACGAATGATACAAATAACGAGGTACAACTAAAATACATTGTTCCACTGAGTGAGTTTTACGGTTCAACTGATTTTTATTAAGTTCAACTGGATTTTATTAAGTACAATATATAACACAAGTAACGAGGTACAACTAAAACACATGGTTCGACTGAGTGAGTTTTATGGTTCAACTGGGTTTTATTAAGTTCAATTGGATTTTATTATGTATAACGAATGACACAAGTAACGAGGTACAACTGAAATACATGGTTCGACTGGGTGAGTTTACGGTTCAACTGGGTTTTATTAAGCTCAACTGGATTTTATTAAATACAATGAATGACACGAGGTACAACTGAAATACATGCTTCAACTGAGTAAGTTTTTAGTTGTACTAAATAGTTTCAAACAATTTAAAATATTTTTAAAAAAATCTGCCGCGAAAAAGTGAATATGTGTTTTTGGCATAGTTGTACCCAAGTTAATAGTTGAACAAAAATATTAACATAGTTGTACCCAAGTTAATAGTTGAACAAAAGTCTTAATAGTTGTACTTTTACGATTTTAAGGTATTTCTAGTTGAACCATTGTATAAATTATAATTTATATTGTAGTTGTACAAAAGATTTTAGTCTTTTAATTATCATTTACAACGTTTTCGTAGAAACATGTATATATAATCTAATAATTTGCTTTTTTTGCATCATAAGAAGTAACATTACATAAATATTCCTTATATTGTAAGAGGTACTTGATGTGAAAACAAAAAATATATTTTAAAACTGATAAATCAGTGTTATCCATTTTATTAATTATTTCTTTATAGTTGAATATGTGTTTAGACTTCTTAGTTGGTTTACCTTTTTCTGGTTTATCATAATTGTTTAATTTATTTATTTTTTTTATATAAACTGAAGCATAATTGAACCACATGAACATAGTTGTACCAACGAAACTAACAAATACAAACCCATAATTATTACCTAATTTAGATGTTATGTATTTATTATATATTGTATAAAATAGATATTGAGTTAATAACTTTTTGTGTTTTTTTGTATGAAATAGATATTAGATACAACTATTATGAACAACAGAGTTTTAAAATAAATTAAAATGAATTGTGAGAAAAAAAGCACATGTTAAAAAAAACGGCAGCAATAACATTAAAAAATTACTAAATTTTCAAGAAATATTCACTTAAATATCTACAACCTAAGAGTTGAATAAAATTTCTAAGGGTTGGCTGCCTAAAACCCCATCTATAGTACAACTTCCGCCTCTTTTCCTCTGAACTTTTGAACTCTTGATATTTCCCCCCCAACTTATACATTTAAGTTTATTCCCCCCTAAACTATTTTGCTCTGCTTAATTCCACATAAAATGCTAATTAATTGAAATTGCAATCAACTCTGCTAAATCGTGTTTTAAAATTGTGATTGCCCTAACCCAGATAAACCCGAACCAAATCTGATAAATCACCAAAACTCGAACCACATCTGGTAAATCAACAAAACCCGACCCAAATAATTAACCCAAACCCAAGCCCAATTTACTTATTTGACTAAAGTCAGAATTAACATTTGAGAATTTAGGTTTGTCGTGTTTTCTTCTTCGCGATGAACAACAAAGAAAATACAGAGAGAGAGCTTCAGAGAGACGGACTCCTCATCACGACATATAAAGATTTCGTTGTGTTATTCGTGAAATTGGGCTGTTTTCGTTGCTGTAGAGCTGACAAGTTTGAGGTTTTGCGACTGGAGATGAATGAACTGCAACTTGTTTTCTGGTAATTCGGATCCGATAAAGCTTTGATCAATTGTCTTTTTTTTCAATAACAGATTTTGTGATTTCTGTCGGAAGTTCTCTCTGTCATAAGAAAAATAATTAATTGATGTTTGTTATTGTTGTTTCAGTGAAGACATGGACAATGAGTTTCAAACTCACGGTGATAGAGATGAAGGGTACCAGACGGAAACAGAAAATGGAGATGGACAAGAGTATGATGAAGAAAAGGAAGAAGAAAAGGAAGCAGAAAATGAAGATGAAGAGGAGGATACAGTGGGACGATATGAGCATGAAATCGAAGTGTTTTTATTCTGTTTTTTGCTTCTGGTATTAGTATTTAGTGTTTAGTGTTTTTGCTTGTTGTGATTTAGTGGTTTTGCTTGTTTAGTGTTTAGTGTTTTTGCTGGTTCTTCTTCTGGTTTTAATATTTAGTGTTTTTGCTTGTTGTGGTTTAGTGTTTTTGCTTTCTCCCACACCAACATCTCGTTGGAACACCAATGTCATGTCTACGCTCACTAAAACGAGATGAAACAGAAGAACTGCTCATGATTCTGATTTCTCTCTGTTCCGTATCTTCTCTTCTCTCTCTGTCGTGATTACAGGTCTGAAGCTCTCTCTCTGTATTTTCTTTGTTGTTCGTCGCGAAGAAGGAAGCACGACAAAACCTAAATTCTCAAATTTCTAATTTTGACTTTAGTCAAATAGGTAATCTGGGCTTGGGTTAAGTTAATATTTGGGTCGGGTTTTGTTGATTTATCAAATTGTGGTTTGGGTTTAATCAATCTCAATTAGAGCAATCACGATTTTAAAACATGATTTAGCAGAGTTGATCGCAATTTCAATTAATTAGCGTTTTAGGTGGAATTAAGCAGAGCAAAATAGTTTAGGGGGGAATAAACGTAAATGTATAAGTTGGGGGAGAAATATCAAGAGCTCAAAAGTTCAGGGGGAAAGAGGCGGAAGCTGTACTATAGGGGGGTTTTAGGCAGCCAATTTCTAATAGTTGTATTTTTGCGATTTTACGATATTTCTAGTTGAACTTTTCTATAAAATAATGTGATGTAGTTGTACAACCAATTTTGAGTCTTAAAACCTCATTTACAATATTTTATAGTATAATTTATGAATAATTTAATATTTTACTTATTTTGAGTCTAATATGGTTAACATTACCTATATCTTTCTTATATTGTAAGGAGTGGTTGATGTGAGAACATCATTTTGTTTATTATTTTCATAATTGTTTGTTTTAATTTTAAATTTTATAATTATTAATTATTTTCTTATAGCATTCTATAATTGTTAGTTGTTCCATACTTATTACATACTTGTTAATTTTTTCATAATTGTTGAGCAAAAGTATAAATAGTTGTACTTTAGTGATTTTAAAATGTTTGTAGTTGAACTTTCTCTTAAATTATTGTGGTATAATTTTACAGTTTATTATGGATAATTAATTATCATGTACAATATTTTCGTAATACAGTATATACTAAATTGATGCAACTTATAAATATACAACTATATATACAATACAAAGGCAGAAATGTTCATAGGAATATCTAGTTGAACCTCACAATACAAATTTAGTCAAATAAACCCAGAATTGTTCATACTTCTACCTAATTTAACTTGGTATTACAAACTTGATAAATAAAAACACAGAATTGTGCATGCTTGTATCAAACAATTGTACACTATTATTACAGATATTTGTCTGTGACAGACCAAACTCAATTAATTCCTCAGTTTCTATAAGGATCTTCCCCAAGTGCGTTAATTTAAGCCACCATTACGCCTCTACACACCTTTAGATCACCATCTCTGCCGTCGCTGCCGCTGCTGCAGCCGACATTGATGATGTCGCTAGCGGTCTGAGCGTAGTGGGTTTCTTCCCGAAGAATCTTCGAGAAAAGCTCCAGGATCTTCCTAAGTGCGCCAATTTAGCCCAAGTGAAGCAGCGTCATGCCCAAATAATTTGGCGGAACCTTCATCAGGATCTACACATCACGCCAAAGCTAATCTCCGCTTTTTCTCTCTGCCGCCAAATGATTTTATCTGCAAGAGTTTTCAATCAGGCCCAGCAATACAACGTCCATCTCTGCAATTTTCTGATTAGAACTCATGCTCAGAACTCGCATCCCTATCAAGCTTTCTTAGCTTTCTCCGATATGCATAGACTTGGCCTTCTCACTGATAATTTCACTTTTTCTTCTCAAAGCTTGTCAAACCAATTGTGGCTATCTGGGAATCGGGATAAAATTGACGAAGAAGACAAAAACATGAATTTTTTGTTTGTTTATAATTTATAAATAATTTATTTTCAGTAAGGATAATTTCGGAATTTCATATTAGTTTAACTAAATGAATGGCATTAGATTAGATAATGGCACATCAGATCATTTTTTTTCTAAATTGTGGCATCTCAGCTCTTCGCTCCTTAGGCTTCTTAGGTTTAGGTAGGTGGACCATGTGGTTTAGTTGCTACATAACAAAATCAGATAAGGACATAAAAGTATTTTTTTAAGTTTTGGATTTAAAAAAAAAACAAAAAAAAATTATTATAGGATGGTATACGAGATCAGTTTTTTTTCTAAGAGTGGCATTTGAGCAATTGATTCCTCACCCAAAGGATTTCTGCATTAAAGAAGTTCATGTATGCAAGATCAATATTTCTGAGGTCTTTGTGAAGTTCATGGCATTCTTTCCTAGACCACCTGCATATTCAACTGAAACTGTAAGAGATGCAATTAGTCTATGAATGTCTCACATCAAATCTCCATGCATATAACAAACACACTCAAAGTTTCCTATAATCATGACAGAATATATAACTTATCAATTTAGACGACTGAAGTAAAGCTGAGGAGTTGATGTTATTGTATTTACCTTGTAGGATTTAGGGGAAGTTTAATGATCTCACAGTCTTTAGTTTAGAGTTTCATATGTGAATATCCTTTGCAGACGAACTTTACCAATAGTTCTTTTTGTTTGAAGTGACAGAGACAATTTCGTTAACGGGTTATCTCGTGATACAACGCTACATGTGAGAACTTTAATGGAAATGATGAGTAATTATCACCCAGATTTACAGATTGTGTATGAAAACAAAATATAATATTAGAAGGTTGAGCGGAAAACAAAGAACATATAATCTACGAAGGTTAAGCGGAAAAAAGAACATATAATCTAAGAAGGTTTAATCCTCTTTCAAATAAAACAATGTTTTTTTCAGAGATCAGTACTTCGTACAGTCGTCTCATCACCATCAAAATAGGAACAACAAAAACGGCAGACAAATAATACGAACAAATTGGAAACGAAATGAAAGGGAGAATTACGCTTTTGATGGTTAGCACTAATCTCAAAACCAATCTTCTTACAATTCAATACATCTACAGAAGAAAGGAGAACACGTAACGATTACGATCCCATCTCCAAGCAACTTATGAAAATAATGAGGTTTTAAATTTTGTCATCGGTTTTCTTTGTAACGCTATTGTCTTTTAAAAATTTCCATTCTTTTTGTTTATTAAACAAAATCCACCTATCTTTGTGAGATAACGTGGTAGAAGGCTGGAGAGAGCTTCCTTTATTTATATATATGATTACAGTAGAGGATTTGTTACCTCGTTAATATTTATTATCATTTTTTGTCTACAGCCTCAAATTCCTAGAACGGCTCAGTAATCCAAGCTGGTGGGGTTGAGTTAATATAGTGTAGAAGATGAAGGTAGTCCCTAGCACCTCGTGTTAGCTTGTCTGCCTTCTTGTTCTCCTCACGTGCTATCTGAATAATCGAGAAAGCTTCAAACTCTCTTTTGCTCTTCTCATATTCCTCCAAATGAATGGAAAAAGCTGGCCACTCCTCTGGGTTAGACACCATCTTCACCAGTTCGGAACAGTCTGTTGCAAAAGTCACTTTTAAGTTTTCTATATCAAGCATACAATGCATTACCCATATCATTGCCTCGAGTTCTAGATGTAATGGAGAAATACTCTTCCGTACATTTTTTGCCCCCATCCATTTAGTTGTCATATCTACCTCTTGACAATACCATCCTAACTCTGTGATCTCGACATTATATTTCCACGATCCGTCTGTCTGACATATTAACCCAGTAATAACCGGAGGATTGGTTGTGCCCTGTTGTGTAAATATGTCCTCTACGTCGTCTATCTGTGCTAATTCCCACGAGTCTGCCTAAATGATGTAGGCTCGAAAATGCTTCAAGCTTTACTCCTTTGAAATCGTTGCTTTGAGCTGAATGGTGGGTGAATGGCCTGATGATTGCTGGCCTGGTTGTATTTGATGACCCGAAACACAAAGGTTAGACTCAAGTTTCTCAAGGGCTAATCCTCACAAGAGAAACCTAATCCTCACAAGAGAAAGAATGATTCTACACGATTTTTAGAAGAGCTTTGATTCCAAAAACAACTCTATTAAACTTGCAGGAACAATTTGATGCAAAGAAGTTTCTTTGAAACAAAACAAAAGCTTTTGATTATCAATATTCTGAATATCAAAGTACAATAGAAAATAGCTTATATAATGCTCAGAATTAGTGAATAAAACGGTAACAAAAAGCATTAAAACAAAGGAATGATTTTAGCCTAAGTGAAATGATTTGGTGTTAGCTAACCGTTGTCATAATGGGAGAAAGGACTTGATTTGTGGCAATGAGAGAGGGGACGAATCTTTGGGTCTTTGGGATGGTATGAACGTCCAGGATGTCTTGACTTGAATGGAGGGTTTAGATGATCTGAATGCTGCTCTATATTTCCCATAGAAGCAAAGATATTATGCTCTAAAAAGGAAAGTTCTTTCATGGCTGATTCTCCTTTGACTTGAGACGAAATAATGTGAATGTTGACTTGATCTGGTGGCTTTATGGCTGTGATATCTTCTGTGTTGGTCGAATAACATACCTTGCTGCTCCTAGTTTCCATAGTTGGTTCCAATGAGGCACATGTAGGTCCAAACATGTAATTTGGTGGCTTTGCCGGTGTAGCTTGGTCCTCTTGCAATTTAAACTGAACCAAATGTGGCTTAGAGGTCTTGATATCTTCAGTGGGCGTGGTAACATGAGAATATGATGGCTTGATGTGAAGAATATCTGAGCTTTCCATAAACAGCTTCATATAATCATGTGTAGGTCCATATATGCAAATATGTGGTTCTGGTGGTTTATCTTCAATGAATGGTCTTTGTTTCTGAACTTGTTCTGATTTGACTCGACCAGCAAGCTCTACTTGGTGTATGGAATTATGGCATATTGATCTTGAAGCTTTATCTC